TCTATTTAACATTAATACATGTGTGTCAATATTTCCCAACTCCATTTCTATTCTTTTGTTTGATTTCATGTTTGGTAAGTGTTCAATGTGTGAGTCCTTATATTACCTTTCACATTAAGTGAGGTAGATATTTATGTTTTTCAGTGGTTAAATTTGATATTTAGAAAAAATGTATTCAATATGATTCTTTAGTAAAACCAAAAAAAACTAATCAAATGTGGAATTGTTGTAATTTCTCTATTCTACTGTAATACTTTGTATGAAACTGAGTATGTACTTACACCTGCTTCTGTTGTGGAATCAAAGTAAGTCTCAAGTTGGGTACAACTAAGGTAAAGCTAAAACTCAAATAGTGGAAACTTCTATACTACAAGAAAAAAGACCTCTCAGATTCCTGTTCTTCTTGAGCTTAGTTGCCTTGAAACCTACAAGATTGTTCTAGCAACCACATATTATTTAAGAAGTTATTTTAGGACATTTCACTGACAAGCAGATGAAGCCTGTCAATAATTACACTGAAAAGCTCTAAGTCTGTGAAGTCAAGGATCCAATAAAAGCTATTTTACCTGTATACCTGTACTGTACTGATTTCTGAATATATTTATATTCAGAATAGAAAACTTAAGGTAGCTCAGCCTCTGTGGAAATAATTCTTCTGTTCATTACAAGTTGTCTGAGTTTGAGTTGATTAGACCTCAGAAGAAGAGTAGAGATTTTTATGCCTTTTCTGTGGTCATAGAAACTACTGTAAACAATACAAAGAGTCTGAAAAAACCTATTGTGAGACAGATTGAACTGAGTGTATAGAGGAGTTAATGAATTAGGGTGTTAAACTTGAGCTGTTTTCTGTTTTGCAGTATTACTGGTTTTTGTTTTTTTGAGGATTCAACATATTAAATTCTCAGGGGGTCACCCTGTCAGCCTCAATTCTGTGGCCTGGATTTAGTTGAATCAATCCTAATTGAAATTCTGCACAGGTCTGGTGTTCTGTGGAGATTGCAGATGAATGACAGTGCAGTGGCAGGAAAGATAAATATGCTGGCAAATGAGATCCAGGGTCTCCACAGAGGATGGAATAAATTACTTTACCAATACAGTGGAGGTAATATGCTGGAGAAAGAAAGTGAAATCGAAGCTAGTTTAATACAAGGCTTGTTAAAAAACATATGAAAAGAGAAGCCAACAATACAGTTAAGATTTACTTAAAATACAGATTTCTGATGTGAATGTATTTAGGCCACTTCTTTTCTATTGTGAATAATGATCAATGCATACACTTTAATTTCATTTATGCAGACAGCAGCTTGCACAATTTAAATTCGTGCAGCATTCTGTGTGTAACTCGAGGCCCAGTGGTAACTGTGGTATAGCATATTGATTAGCAATTTGATAAATATATAAAATGGCACACTGAGTTTAAGGTGCTTTATGAAAAATGTATTTAAATGACCTTGGCTAATTAGCGTGAATAGCTTTGAGGCACTGCTGCCTGAATGAAAGACATTTTTAGAGTCCAGAGATTTAAAAGGTTTCATGACTGGATGAACAAAATTTAAACCAAGGGAAAAGAGCAAACATTAATTTTCATAGAAATTAAGGTGAATTAGATGACCTGATAGAACTTTTTTCCATTTCTTGCAGGTTCTGTACTGTTCTTCTTAGCATATGCCTGTTACTCCTTTCCATCTAATTGCTAAATTTCTTAAATAACCAGGATTTCAGCACTTTCCTCAGAAGATTATATTAGAGTCTAATGGATCAGAAAGTATTTTCTAATATACATCTAAAATTATCCTTTTCACAGTGTAAGCTATTACTTCTTTAGGTAGTTATGGTTTGTTGTAATACTTGAAATAATTCCTTCCCTTCCTCTGTGCCTGTATCCACCTACAATATGTAGGTGATCACTTAGTAAAATTATAGGAATGTATTTTTTATTCTCATCTCATAAATCAGTTTCTTCCATTATCTAACAATAGTATTTTGTCTTTCCTGAGCTAATTTTTGCATAGTAGTGATGTTGTCACAGTGCTGAAGTTAGACTGAAGTTCTAATCCAGGCTGAAAAAAGCTCTTGCCTCCCGTAAATTCTGATATACATCAGCAATTTTCACTGTCCATTTTCAATCTGTTGTTTCATTCTACAGCTGAAATTTTTTCAGTGTTTACACTTGAAACCTCCTTTTATCACTGCTGTTTTCTTTACAAAATGAAGAAATTGGTTTTAATTTGTAGTTTCACCAAAGTGCTGGCTCATGCTTCTCTGAGCTCAGTCTTTATTTTCATTTTATGTTACAAAAAGCATGTTCAGAGGTAATTTGGCATAGATCTAAGCGAGCATGACTCAGTGAAATCACTGTAGGCTGCCATGCTAATGAGGGAAATGCATCTCAGACAGCAAGTAGAAGAAAGTTGTCTGGAATGGAGGTGAGAATGGTAACTCTGACTGGAATGGTCTCCTGTGAAGGAAAGAAATCTCCCTGATGGTGAGTAGTGAACTTGCACAGCCAGACTGACATTGCCATGGATCAGTGGGGAGCTTACATTATCTGGGGAGTTCAAGTAAGAACTCTCTTCCAGCACAATTAGACAAAATTTAATTAATTTTTAATTCTGACTTTGACTAAATAACACTGCTTTTAGTCATACTGGTTAGTAATAGTTATCTCATTAAGAAAGCCCTCATGACCTGAGCTAGTCTTGGGTTTTTACTTCTTGTGTAATATTTTATTTGTGGATTGTATGTGACAAATGGTTGAAATTACAGGCACAACATGCATTTTACATGTTTTCTACAGAAATTATGAATTTTTAAGATTAATTCATAGAATAACTCTGGATAAGACAATTGTTGAGATGTTTCATAGTAAGATGAATGAAAAGAGTTTTCAACTGTAACAAGGCTTTTTAGTTAATTATTTTTAATGGAAATATTCTATGCAAAATAAATTGACAAATTTTTTTAAAAGTGAAATCCAACGATATTGTAAGAGCTTCTTACTGACTGTCTCTTTTTATCCAATTCTAATATATAATTTCAGAGTATTGCTATAAAATAAAAGGACAATGGGTACAATGCTAAATAATTCTTTTTCTTCTGCTCATCTTGGCTCGATGTCTGGAAGTGACACCCTTACTTTGACATAATTTTGCTCTGGTATTTGTTTTTTACAGAAATGTCCATTCATTGACTTTCAGGAACTTCAATTTTCTACAATAATGTACTAAAGTTGCTGTGTTACTTTTCCATTTCTTATTGATTCATAGCCCATGTTTAAATACATATAGTTTTTCCTGTTCCAAAACTGCCATGTGAGATTTTGATTCTTTGAGGAGACTCTTCATTCCAGGTAAGAAATACATGGTATAGAGAGACACACTATCCTTAGTTTACTGTTTCTCATACAGGTGAAACTGCTGAGTAAAACAACCCCTTGGAAAGTTGTAATACCTTATCTACAATAATTTATAGGTGAGGATCTTGTTATATTCCATAATGGTCACATTTTATGCGTGAATACTGACAGCCTCACTCTAAAACATATATGGAGATAGAATAAAAATTATATGGGCTTCAGCCACCTTATAACAACATATTCGTATCTCTGCTTTATGGTTTCAGGTGAAAAACCCTAAAAACTACAACATTCTAATCTATCTGTACTTGCACCAAATCTTGGCTTTGTGGTTTATGACCCTTAGCAACAAAATTTCTCTCGCCTTTTAATGGAATTAAATTACAAAGGTGAATTGGAAAACCTGCATTACTATGTTAGTTTCACTGCAAAAACCACTAAAGAATGAAACTTTTAATAAAGAATAATTGGAGCATTTTAATTTTCTAAATCTGGCATGATTTGCTTTTGTCTTGATTTTCAAGCTTTTTTTCCCAGTACTGCCTTATAGGCATCTACTTGTGATATCCAAGTGTACTCACAAACTTTCTGTAGTTTATAATCTGTTATTACTACCTCTATCCTAACACAGAAGCCTAAAGAAATATATTTCCTATGAAACAAACAGAACAACACAGCAGTTTTAAAATTCATTCATTCCCATTACATTTCTATCACCTCAGCATTATGAAAACATATTTTGCTAAATTTTCATATGCACCAGCATCAGTGGTGTTCTTGCTGATTTTATTTTTAATTATTGGAAAGCTTTGTATTTCATTTGCCTGTAATTTGCTCTGAAAAACTTCAAAGTGTCTTCATGGGCCATCTTATAAACCTATTTGCTATTAATGAAATAGTCCTTAAAATCAAATGTTAACACTTCTTACAGTAGAATATAAAATCCTTCTAAGCATGTGTTTTAGATTAAATTTCTATTTAACTCATCACAGGCATATGAGAAGGTGCATTTCTTGCCATATTGAAATTTACTGCAGTTAGAAAAAGTTCCTAATTGCTTCTTATCAATCTACTGGTAGAAGTAAATGTGTTCACAAATAGGCCATGATATTAGTAAAAAATTTCATTAGTATAAAAAAAATATGTGGTCACTAGAGAAATTAAAATAAGGGTAGCCCTGTGAAAAAAGTGTCTAAAAATACCCTATTCCAATTTTCAAGTACAGTTTCTATACAAAAGTTCAAGTTTTTTCATCATATAATGCTGTCTGAAATCAAGAAAACCTTCTTGATAAAAATAATATTGTACTTGAAAAGTTGCTGTGGTTTCATGGTAACTTTTTTTTGTCTGTTCCACTATACTACCACTTCCCTGTTGGAGTCATCCCTCCATAGCTAAGTTTGTCTTTTATATGGTGTGCTATATACCATGATGCAATTTATCCATTGTTGGGAACCTGGATAACAGATCTTGACCCAACAGGTAGGTTTATTTAGATATCTAAAATACAGTATATTAGCACTGTTAACATAATACTGTTCTGAAATGTGATTCAACTTTCAATTTCTTTCTTGAGAAACTGGTTTATATGCTTTAATTTCTATTGATTTTTAAACAGGAAGAAAACAATTATTACGAAAAACAAAACCCAAACAAATGTTCAATCAAGATATAACTTCTATCAAAAAATCTTCAGTGAGAAAACTTCAGTTTACTGAAGGTTTGTACATTGTAAGCTAAATATCATTGAGTTTGCATTATGTAGTTTGCTTGCATATTGTTGCACTTCACTTCTTATTGTATATAAAACATTTCATTATCAAGATGGGGGTCTTAGGTATTAAATTATTTTCTGAACATTTACCACAATACTCACACTATTCTTGTTCAGTACAAATAGTTTTGCAAGTGATTGTTCATATTCAGCAGAAATACAGCAGATACAAACAGCACAAATATGTGTGTTTAAAGAGGTAAATAATTGAGAAAATTCTCTGGGCAACTCATCCCAGTGTCTCAACACTCTTATTGTAAAAAAATTCTTTCTTGTATCTAACATAAATCTACCTGCTTTCAGTTTAAAACCATTGCCCTTTGTTCTGTCACTGCAAGACTTGGCACAGAGTCTCTCTCCATCTTCCTCATAAACTGCCTTTGTATACTGGTGTGCCTGTGGTCCTCTGCTCCCCAGGCAGAGACAGGTTGGGACAGGTCTCTTAGGTTCAGCCTTTTTTTTTTTTTTCCTAGGAGAGGTGTTCCAGATCTCTAATAATTTTTGTGGCCCTTCTCTGGAACTGTTCTAACAGATCCAGGTTTCTCTTGGCACTGGGAGCTTCAGAGCTGGGCACGGCAATCCAGGGAGGGTCTTAGATGAGCAGCAATCCTGCTCCCTTGACAGAGAGGACACCATCCATGGACTAACCTCCATAGAGATGCTTCACAGCTCCACCAGAGTACATAACACAGTGTCACAGATGGCCACAACACAGAGCATCACTATGCAATTTGAGAAGGCTTTAAGCATTTGCCCATGCACAGTAACACCATACCTCACCAGAAGGCCTCAGGTATCTGCCCATACAGAAAAATATCAAATCACTTCAGAAGGCTGCAAGCATCTGCCCTTCTTGTTCTTCAGCCCAGCCTTTTATACCCCTGATGCTGATGCATTGCACTGTGCGCCCTCTGTTCCCTTTGGTGGTTGGGCAGTGCCCCTGGGCACTCCATGGCTCACTGCTGTCAGTGCTGCTCACCTGCTGCTCTCAGCTGTGCCCATTGGGGATGAGACTCAGCCTCAATTACCACAAACTGTGTGCCTACAACACAGCACTATGAGCCACTCAGCAGTCACATGGGTGAGGAAGCCAGTCCTTGTGCTCTACCCCTCAGCTTCTGTCGTCACAAAGCTCCATATAGGCTACTTTTTATTCTCCTGTTTTCCTCTAAATTCAAGAATCGTTTACCCTATTTGATCTGTTCATCTACTTCCCTCTGCACTGTATGTAATCCAATGAGATCACTTATTTGTATATTTAGGTTTCTAATTAATAATGCAGATATATGCTTGCTGGCGCTGAATGTATGTTGTCCTTTAATTATGTTTTTAAAACAGATGAGGGCCCATAAACCAAACCACATTGATAGAGAAGTAAAATAAAAATGCACCTTATACTGATAAAAATATTACACGTACTTACTTGTATCTTAGTCCAATGGGCAGTGCAGTATTATTTCTGGATATATTTCCTTATGCGTATCATGATGAATAATGACATAATCGTCCTGAGAAATTCTGTGAGTTTGTTTTAAGCAATATATTTTTCAAGTTTAAATGATGATTTTGGCCTTGTGCACATTACTTTATACCAAAACTCAATAAAAAGATTCCTGTCTATGTAAATAATTAATTTTTGCCATTTTCAACTTTTAATAATGTATACCTCATCTTTAGTTGGAGCTGTATGCTTGCTCACCCACTCTAGAATTTTTTGGATAAGTATCAGAAAGAACATAGACAAAAAAAAAATTGTAAAAAAATTATAAACAAAATTAATCTATTCCATAAATAATTTCCTTTCCTGTAAAAGGGAAATTTGAATGTTGCATCTACTTTACTTGAAAGTGATGCCATAACAGAATCTGCAAGTTTGTTAGTAAAGGGTCTTTTTATTCATCTAACTACTGATTCAAATGAAATACACAATAAGATCATCTGTGTTTATGCTCAGAAGAAAGTCAGCATTTCTCAATAATAAGAGATCAAAGAGGAATGTTGCTATTTTGGGAAATACAGCAAAATAGCTGCTTCTGCTATTCAGAAAAGGAAAGTGTAATTTGGTAAATGTCAAGAGGGAGAGCTTCTCAGAGTCAGAAGGCAATAAATAAGTTCAGAGTGGAAGGTTCAACTTACTTTCTACACCACTAGGTACAGGTTGATGGTATAGAATTACCATAAAAAGTATTTAATGTTTTTCCAAGTATTTTGTGCTAAAAGGAGAGTGCAAATGTATCATAGTATACTTCAATTAGGCTAATCTTCACAGAGGGACTGACTGCTCCATGTGTGACAGACGCTTGTGGAAATATCTGAGGGCTAGGTGCTACAATATGAAAACATATCAAGAGGACACCAAGTTGGAACAGTTGTTATCAAAGTGGCACTGCTAGCATTTGTAATGATGTCCTGCAGAAGCTCTGTTCACTTTCACTGACAAGCAGGCTGGCCAAATAAGTTGTCCCTCTGCTGGCACTTGTGCCATGTGGCAGCGATGTGACCGACCTGTCAGCAGGCAGCGCGCCATCCCGACAGATGGGCGTGAGTGCAGCTAGCCAAGGATATTTTCATTCCATGTGCAGCAGATGTACGCGCCTATTAAAAGTGTTGCTCCCTGCTGAGAGAATCAAAACAGCAGTTTGCCTTGAACTTCTTTTTTAGAGTTGGCAATATATGGCACCACTAACCCAGCTCAGAACTTGATTGACATGGAGTATCAGGGGATACTGTGAGGAGAGGGCAAGGAGTTCAAGGTAATCTCCTATACTGTTGTTATTTAATTCTTTAGGAATTAATAATTCTTCAAAAATTTTTGATAGCCTTCATGCCAATAACATTTGACACAGAGAAAACCATAGAGCTAAGAGCATGCCCTCTCTGGCTAACTTTATCAAATATACAAGTTGTACCCAGAGACACTCTAAAAGTTGCACTTGCAGCACAGCATGGAGAAAAATATTTCCCTTCCAGGCAAAATTAATTGTGGTCATTACTTTAATGATCAAAGCCCACAAAGGGCAACAAAAGTAGGCTCTATTACTGTATAAGTAACGGAACATTTAATTTCCACTATTAACCATATTTTTTTAACTAGAGTAATATATCCATAGAAAGGGGATAATTAAAAATACAGGCTGTTTTTATCAAAATTATTTGTACTTAACTGTGGGGACAATATACCCATTAGTGGCTTTTAAACAGTAGCCTTTTGGCACATCTAAATTTTTGCTGTCTGGAAAATAAAACAACAAAGGTATACTGTTTCAGGCAATTTCAAATGCTTGTATTGCAGCAAAGCCTGCATTTTGATGGTTTGTATTTAAAAGACTTTTATTAGTGTTGGTATGAAGTTGCTTTGAAAGAATTTGCTGAGAAGTGGGATGAAATGTCTAAATTTGATACTCTATGTCTACTCTATGTCTCAATTTGATGCTCTATACCAATAAACCTCTGATTTTAAGGTGGGGGACATAGCAATACAGGAAGCAGGGCAGACTGAAAATATCTTGCCATTTAGATACAGCCTTTACTGTTGTCAAGATATATAATGCATTTTTTTCCTCTATTTAGAACTTGCAGAAAAAAAGAAAACTTCAATCCTTTCAAAGTGCTGTATTACCCATCCTAGAAACAATCCATCAACAGAAATTTGCTTCTATCAGTGTTTTAGCTTCAGATCTTCAATCACTGCTGAATCAAAAATTTGTAACCTCGCTCTAACCTAGTCCATGTTTGTGAGTCAGCACATAAAACACACACTCTCCATCACTGGGAAGTGCTTGCTCTCTAGGACACTGCCCTCCTGTAAGTATGAATAAGTTCTGCAAGAACATTATCAACCTTTCTTGTCCCCAAGTTACCCAATTCCAACCATTCTATAAAAAGTAAGGGTCTCAGTTTGATATAGTTGGTTACCTCCTTCTTTCATCCAAGAGCTATGGCTTCTAGTGTTGATGATGGCTACTGCCCCCACACATGAAACTGATGAGGCTTTGGAACATAATAATAAACTCACCTTTCCATTTAGCAGTGATCCTTAAATCCTACATTTCTAAAAGTTTTTTCTCTTCTTACTGGCTAAATTCTGTTCTTGGATCTTGCCTGGGTATGGTCTGACAGAAAACTTCCTCCAAGTAACCTAAAAACCCAATCTACACAGCACAAAAATAGGAAAAGTCTTTCTGCTGCATCCTGCTTCTGATCATTTCTAGATATGATAGACTTTTACAGTGCATAGAAACAGATGCATAGCTAATTTCAGCTAAAATCCATGCCATCTCTATTATTTCTTCCCATTTGGAGGCTGGGAAGGCACAGAATTAAATGCTGTCCCATACATCAATGATTTATGAAGCTCTAAATATAAATAATTGTTCAAGATCCAGTTCTGTGCATGTATTATTCCCACACCAGGTGTTATTTTCCTTGTTTGCTTGTGGAGGTTGTTTGTTTGTTTGCTTGCTTTTGTTTGTTTTAGTTAAATTCTTCTATAATAGAAATTTTCAGGTTTTTTAGTTTTATTTTAGGGGATTATAATATGCAAAGTGTTCTTATATATATTAAACATTACTGTTGTTGAAATTGTTGGGATGCAAACTATGATTTTTTTTGTGAAAAATAAACCGTGCTCTGAAAAGTTCAATTACTAAGCATTTGGGACATACCAAGATTTGGATGAAGAAATTATTTTGTTGGTTTTACAGAGATGTAAACTAATTAGAAGTCTGGCTGTACAATAAGTCCAGAAGACAAAAGAAAGGAGCCTTTTGTTACTTCTTGTATTATACAGTTCTGAGATGTTTCTTCAATTTTCAATCTGCTTTGCTAAGAGAGTAATCTAGGAGGTTGTGTTTATATGTACATATATATGTATGTATAGGCTTGTGTTTACACCTTACCTTTAATTTCAGCCTCATGCACAGTTTCAGACAAATAGATCAAGTATCTGAAAAGACAGTGCTTTTCTATATGTTTTGGGAGAATAAGTGTCTAAATAGAAAGAGGTGCTTTGTAACATTCTCATGAGGATATGAAAGTAATGGGTAAATGAATCTGGTATCAAAAATTCCACACAGGAGCACCACTGAGACATGAAGTCCTTCGGAAAAGGGCTTTGTAAAGTGCCACTGTTCCCAGAGTAATAGTTTAACATTTTATGGTTATTCTTGCTTGAGATCAGGACTGCATGAAGAGTGTCAAGGTATGAAGTCAAAATATAAAAACTAAATTGTGCTGAAGTCTGGAGGCACGCATGAAGAAGTTGTTGCCTTACTTCAAAGTAGCTTAATCTTCTCACTTTCATATGTAGACAAGCCTTGTATCTACTCTCATTAAACAGTTGTGGAAATGTCTGTCACTGCCCTGAGTTGACATATCTAAAGATACATTTAGAGAATGTGCTGATGTGATGAGAAAATGTTTTAAATGAGGATGGAAAAGAAGTGACTCCAGCTTTAAAGTAACCAAGAGAAGAGCTACTTGAAACAAGCTAATGTGGATTGAGTAATCCACATCTTAAAACTGACAATTAAGTGAAAAGCAAGACGGAATCTTAACACAATTACTTTAAAAAGTAGCAATAGGAAGGATTATGTATGTTCAGAATTCTGTAAAATTAATAGGCAACATGAAATTTTCATGCTGGTGGTTAGAAAACTACTACTGTTTTCCAATAGTTGCATTTTGAAAAATAAAAGGCTTCAATCAAATTGCTAATTTCAATGTGTTTATATTCAGAGTTTGTAGTTCCAAGTACTATAAGGTTTTTTTGCAGGATTTATAAACAGATGCCATTTTTGTTATTGCCCTTGTTGTACTCAAAAAAATCATTCTTAGAAGTAAAAATAGCTAAATTATAACTTACATCCATTGGGAAAACTTGTTGCCAGAAAAATAGATTTGTGATTAAATTTTTTTCAGAAATTTTCTAGGTTTCTTAAAATGTTCTGAGTGTTACTTGGAAATTGTAAAAGAACATGTTTTTATTTTACATGTGGTTTTTAATAGAAAATTTTCAAGTGTGAATTATTTTTTCAAAACATGCATATTTTCCCTTAGGAAAGGGAGATGGAAAAAATACCCAGCAATCCAACCCCAAATTCCTTTCTTAATGGAAGTGTTACTAATAGGACTAAAATAGCAAATATAATTGTTCATTAATCTTTCATTGGTCTTTCCTTTTTTTTTTTTTGACTTTCTGAAGATACTTTGAACTTGTTTGATTGATTTGCACACTTTGGATGTCACAGTTTTATTCTTCTATATCACCATGTTTCCTTGGGGTAAAACTGCAATGTGAGGTGTGCACATAGAATTAGTTTTAGCTCTTAATAGCCAAACAGAAAATACTGGTTCATAGCAATAAATGTCTGCTCCTCCAGATGAAAAACATCATTAAAATATTCCTTCTCAGATACACTGGATGCATGTAAATTATTTGACAGTTGGCCAAGCAAGTACACTTGAGGAAAAAATTATGAGTGAAGAAAATGATAAATTAAAGGCTATAATTTAGTTTTGAAACTAATTTAAAGAATAGTTAGTCTGGAAACTCTGTTTCATCTGTTTATTTTGTTGCTATTTACGTTCCCAGTAATGATTCTGCTGAGATTTCTACCTCAGATACGATAGCAAAGACTTAATTGCTGAAGTTCACGGAATGGTCTTTTATTCTTGCACCGACTGAGAATATTTCAGCAACACACAGTTTGGGAAAAGAGGCCATGCAACAAACAAACTGCTCCTTTTCCAACAGGGGAAGTGGCAGTTCAGATGGCTATAGCCTTCCAAAAATCTCAGAAAGAAACTTCCAGCAGCATGCTTTTATATGATCGAAAGACAAATTTGGTATTATTGACAGTGATGCTGATGTTTTGGAGGGAACTCCAGGTCAAACCAAGGACTGCATTCACAACAGCAGACTGCATCTTTTTAATGTATTGCATATTTGAGATGGAATTGAACACAGCAGGCACACTTTTATGTGCTTGTCTGAACAACATCAAAGTAAGTCATTATGTAAATATTGGAATGAAACTTTTAAATTTTAATTTATAACACTAGATTTTCTTTCTGAACAAAATAACATTTCATAAAAAATTGCATTTTTAATAAAAATCTGTATTTTTTTGGTTACTATAACTTCAAGTTCAAAAGTTTTGGGCAGCTCTTGATATAACTGTAATTTTTGTAACTCTGAAGTAACTTACAAACTATCAGGTCCAGTGTTTGATTTGCAAAGAGGATGTGGCTGAAGTAATGGTGCATTTGCATTTTTTAACAGCTTCACAGGAAGTATATGATGTGCTTTCTGTTACAAGGAATAATTTTTTGTAGCTTATATCATAAAAATCTTAGAAATCAAATCAGTTATTGAGAGTTCTATGCTGTCTATTTATTTCCAATCAGACAAAGAGGAATTTAATACTGAGAGAAAAGAAAAAGCCATTTGCACAGCATTTTGGATGGAACATTTAAACTGTAATGCATCCCTAGAATACAATTCCAGGGATGTATTGCAGTCATATGATCACAGAGTGATTAAAAATCCATAATGGAGTATTTCTTTCCCAGCTATACACATAAAAAGACCTCTTATCCTTACAATTTGACTTCCATCCACTCAAACAATTTTTTCATTAGGTACTGTTGTGGAAGGTAATGCATCTAAAAGAATGAACCCTATTTTCAGTTCATCATCCTAAAAGCTCTTTCATGATACCCCCTAAATGGAGATGGCGAGGCACACCCTGCTTATGATTTATCCTGAGAGCAACGTACATTTTCGAAATCAATGGTGAAAATGTCTGTAGGTGTGCACACATGCATGTGCGCATGCATGTAGTGGTACTTCTGTTTGCCCTTCATTGAAGCAGTGAAGCACAAACAAATTGAGAGTCAACAAAGTTAAAGCAGAGGAAATATTATTGAAGTTCTGCTCCTCTCTAATTTTGTACTTTTGTGTAGTGGCTCACTAAAGAAATAAAGAAATTTAGATATTCAGTTCTCACTTTGAGATTTTATTATTCTAGACCCTGGAAGAAAGAGGCTGCTTGCTCACTCCAACAGTGAATGAGATGCTGAAGCAATATGCTTGAAATGTGGTATGTTTTAAGAAGACCAGGAGAAGAGCTGGCATGCTGAAGAGCTGATTTGATTTTTTTTCTCAACAAGTTTCTTAGAGGAAACTTCATGCCTCTGTAAATTTTGTCTTATTTCTATCTGTTGACCATTATCACTAAAAGGATACTATTATTAAAGGTATTAAATAATATTATTACAGCATGACATGAGAATGGAAGCAAGTGCCAGTAATACTCCTATGCTCGACATCAGCATAATTTTTGTAATTTGTTCATAGATTACTTGATTATCTTTGTGGGTCCCTTCCAACTCAGAATATTCTGGGATTTTGTGGCTTTTCTTACTTTGCACTCTACAACTGCAAACAAATGTTGTCTGTTCGATAAATACACATTACGTAAGGCATACACATTAAATAAGGGACCTGTATCCTGAGAAAAAGCATCAAGTCTGTTGTGCATTTGTTCCTTATTCTTAAAAAAACATGAAAAAAATAACTATATGAACAAACAAAAGAGACATAGATGCATGTCATTACAGGTGAAAAATAGTAGCATGACACAAGTTCACTTGTATGAACTGTGTAGGTCCATTATGTAAATGGAGCGGTCTTCATTAGACTGTGCTGGTAATTAAAGACTGACAGGCTCTTATCATTGTGGAAGAATTTCCTTTCCATTACCTTTATTGACCTCCTACTCACTTTTTACCTTGGTTTAATATGCACAGCATGAAGTCTCTAAATTATCTAAATAGATTTATAAAACTTCCCTAATAAGCTGCAAATTAGGTGATTTCTTGCTGATTCTTTTCTTTATGACAAGAGTTAGTGGTCTCACTAGTTCCACTGACAAATTTGTAAGAATATGTGATGCAGGATAAGGGCCACGAGTGTGAAACTTCCTAAGCCTCTCAGACACCCTTTACACCTGCATAATCTGCAGCACTGATCAGTCAGTGCATCTATGGACCAGTCTAGAACATATAGAAATCAAGGGAAATACCCACTTATTTTTTTCTCCCTTTATATTAAATTTCTTTGTGGAAATTTGCAATTATCTATGACTGGAAATGCATAATGCATTTGGGTAATTAATTATAATTTTATATTGTATTGCCAAAGAGTGGAAGGGGGTAAGGGACAAAACCAGGCTCTCCAGTGGTGGACAATGAGATGGTGAGCCAAAACTGGAGGAAATGAGCCCTAATGGGATCCCTTAATTTGCTTCACCAGGTGTTGGCTACAAAGTACCACACCTGAAATGCTTCTACAATAATGGCCTCAGTGTGAGGAACAAACAAGAGGAGCTGGAACCTTTGGCCCACTCCCAGAGATTCGACATCGTTGGTGTAAGTGAGAGCTGGTGGGATGAGTCCTGTGGCTGGAATGCCCTGCCAGATGGCTGCAGGCTCTTCAGGAGGGATGGGCAGGGCAGAAGAGATGTTGAGAGGTTGGCACTGTATGTAATAGAAGGGTTAAAATTGAGTTAATTGAGCCCATTTTCAGAATTGTCTGTCTTCAGGTAACTCTGTTTCATGACTAGACCATGTCATATGCCTTGTTTAATCATTTAGGTTAAACCTGTAAACTTAACTATGCTGGTTGCTGATGAAAAGATCAGATGGCCAAGATTTGGGATGTGGGATTTAAAATATACTATAATTAGACTGCGTTAGGTATTTTGGATTTATGTAGCCTATGGCTGCTTTTCATCTATTTTGTCCTCATTGTCCTCTTAATTTCCTAGTACACTGCAGAGATATGTTAATTTACTACTCAAGCTGAATGTAAGGTCACAGTGTCTCACTTTTGTTTGTAGTTGATTGCTTATCACCTATTCGAGACTCCATTTCTATTTACCATGTATTTTTGATGATTGGGCCTCAGTAAGTCCCTACAAAAGAATACTGATCATGTTTTCTTTTCTCTCTAACAGCTGCTCAGTAATTTCACAAGATGTAATGTAAGTCTATTCATGAAGTAAAGTGAGACCCTCTCAGCTCATGTTGATTGTGCTCATGGAGGTGCTCACCAGTCTGTTGAATACATTCTGCAATTATTATTATTTTTTTTTTTGAAGTAGGAAGAATGCATGCTGAAGATCACATGAAGTAAAAGTTAAGCCTCTTTCTCTCTTACACACAATACACAGGCTGATTCCCATGGAAGATGTGTAGGTAAATCCTCTGTACAATTTGGATATTTCAAGAGGCGATTTTGTGAAACCATTTATGTCCAAGCCCAGTGCACTTCTCCTCCCTGATCATTATTGTCAGCAGGCACTCAGTTAGATACTGAAACAGAGTCCAGATGCAGATCTCAGATGTAGTAGAGGAGGTTTTTTTCATAAAATATTCTGTAAAAGTATTTGAGTTCTTATGTTCAGTACTTATGTGAGAAAATAAAACTGATGATCTAGAATTTTAAAATATACTGTATTTTTATAACTTAAAAAATGACAAGTGAGAGAAAATGCCAGATGGACTATTTGGCTTAAAGTTCTAACAGAAATGGAAACAGAAGATGACAATAATCAGGCAAATATCATTTCATGAGTGAAAATTCCCAGAGCATCTTGGTTTAAAATTATTGAAAGAGCTACATGGCTGGCTTACAAGCATTTCAAATCAGTAAGAATTAACAATTTCTGCTATAAAATGTACAGAGTAATTCTCTAAAACTTTGTCCAATGAGGCTATCTCTATGTGTGTCATGCTTTACTTCTTCAGTTGGTGACTGTCTGCTTTGCATAAAACACTTACAAAATTTATTGGACTAGGGAGGCAGAATATGTAATTGTTCATGACTGGAATAATAGCACAGTGATTATAGTACTTACCTAGGAGGAGGGATTCTTTTAAGGGAGCAGGGGTGGGTGGTGGTGGTGGAATGAAGGCACAAATTCCTCTTTGCTGCATGTGACAAATATGATACTTGTAAAGCAGTAGAAGTTAATAAGCTTGGCACCTGAGAGGTAATTTTTGGAAAAAGTAATTATCACAGGTAGTACATGCTCACAGAAAATAATGGATATCCTTTTTCCATATATGAAATATTGCCTATAAAAATTCTGCTCAAAATTTCCATGCAAGGCCAAGCTAGCTTTTTGGAAAGTATACCACAAATTTCCAAATGTCAAAATATATTATATAAATATTTCACTTAAGACTCAAATTTTGGGGAAAAAGATGCAGAAGGCATAATATTCTAAAATCCTACCTCTAATAGTCAGGAAGCCTCTCTGTATCTTCAATATGATTTTTCTTCATTTTCAATTTACATAATGGAGAGTGATAAAAATGAACTGATTTGTGTGCCACATTGATCTTAGAGCCAAATTAATTTCTTTTATGATAAGGACCATTCGAGAGATAAACATTCTATGTTCCTGGGTAAAATAGGAAGTATGAAAATTTTCTCCTTTATATGTATCTTCTATATTTTTAAATTAAGGTAGGCAACATGTATAGGTTCCTTTCTAATAACTCCTATAATGCCTAAATTTATGTTTAAATTAGACACTTGCAGTGTATATCAAATACATTCTTAACCATTTATCTGCTATTTTCATACATCTCTAATCCATGCTATTGTATTTGTTTGCTACAATGTGATTGTAGGAATCTCTTCTCTGCCAAGATGCTAAAATAAATGTTTGAAAATGTTATGATTCATGTTGCCAAGGTTTATTTGCAAGAGCATGCTAGCAGCTTCCCAGTGGAAATACCTTTTCTTAAAAATATCAAGAGAATGAGTATCCAAGTCACTTTTGTGTCACATCCAGTGAATAACATTAAAAAATTTAAAAATTTATTATCTATTTAGTAAATAATACCAGGGAAAGAAAGGGGTAGGATGTTGCAAGTAGGGGACAGATTTAAATTAGGTGCTTTAAATTAGAATAGAAACATTAGTGCATTATCTTCAGATGCTTAGCTCTTTCAAACTGTTACGTTAATGTTTTTTACGCGTGGAAAACGTTAAGTATTTTTCACATGTGTAGGCTAAACTTTCAGAATAAATGCCCTAGGTAAGCAGTTCTGCAGTTAGTTAAAACTATGGCTATGTATCTTACAAATTAAATTTACGAAGCTGCAAATTTCTTCCAGTTCAGTCTGTCTCAGAATTTAATATTTTAAGGACAGATCTAATGGGGACTGAAATGTTAGATTACCCTAAGCCAAAATTTCAAAATAGATTCCTCCTTGCAGATTCAAGAATTCTAAGTTTTCTACAGATATAGTGGTACAGAAAGAAATAGAGTCTCTGGTGATGCGGATGATAAGGAAAGCAGACATTTAGTATGCAGTACCTGACTTGGAGTCTAGTAGCTATGGATATAAGTGCAGGGAGCTGATTTCCATGTTCCCAGGCCTGTTTATACATTTTACATGAAAAATTTTTCATTTAAATATTGAAGTAACTGGAAGAAAACAGAATTCACCTCTCCCAATTCTGATCAGCTTTACAGAACTCTTTAAGCAGAAAGTCATACAGGTTTTTGCAGGCCTGGGAAATTGTTGAGCTTTGCTGCAGACTAAAAAGCTTTGAACCACTTCAAACAGTAAGAAAAAGGCCATAATTCTACCCAAACTAGGATACCTTGGTGGCTCTGGCATTCTTGTGGAAGATGTGGGTTTGCATGTTTCCAGTGTTAACAAGAGAAAAAAACCCATCTCTACTACTAAAAAGGGGGAGAGCCCTGTATTCAGATTAATAATTCCTGTGTTGAGACAATGCCATGTATTGAACTTGCCCACTGGAGATTAATAACATGAAAATTCCCTCCATTTGAAGGGAGGAACCAAAATTTCCCAGAGAAGTTGCAGAGTCAATGCTTCCAGCGTAAGAGAAGCAATCCACAAGCTTTCCTTAGAGCTTTTTGCCTCCCTACCAGTCCTGGACTCATTCCTTCTTGCTCCCAATTTACACTCTCCTTCTTTAATAAGACCCTAAGATCTCACAATTTACTTGAAACAGCAACCTGATGCTTGTTTCTGCCTGAGGTTTCAAACATTTAGGTCAGAAGCTGCAGCAGCTAGGAAGTTTATGAAATTGAGTTCAGCAGGGCTTTTGGGCCAGAATCACTTGATTTAGGGCTTGGAAACTTACCTGAGACCATTTTCACACCTATTTACAATTTTGGAACTGAAAATATTTCCCTTTGATAATACATATAAAAGATAGCTAGCTCTAAAACATATGGAGCAAAAATTCCCTATGCTTTCTTAATAATAATTTATTAGGACAGACCTTATTGTTATATGACTGAATATTAGCTTTTGGACCTACTTTGACATTCAGCCTTCTATCTCTAAATTTCTTTTTCCTATTATAGCTTCTGACATTACAAGATAGGTAAAATTTTATATATGGGTAAAATTTTATATATAAAATCACTGAATTAATCAGTGTTCATTGCTATGAAAGAGAATGAAAAGGTTTATTGATCTCTGTATTAAAGAATAGCATGAAAAGAACATGACTGAAGGTATGCTGAAATAATTTTTAATTAATTTTGAATCCTGACATTACAGCACATTTTTTCTGAAATTTAAAACACTTCTGGAATAAATTGCTATCAGATGCTTCTCCCTTTGTTCTTTAGAGTTCTATGTGCTATCTTTTACCTGGCAGATGTGTGTGTATACACTCATAAGTGAGGAATAGGAGAAATGAGTGCAAGGAGGTGGATTTAAAGCTGCAATCAATTAGTCTGTTGCTAGGGAACTGTCAGCTGCCCACTCACAAAACAGCAGTCAGCTGGCTGGAGTTAGGAGCATATAAAATGGAGTACAAAACACTAAACCTCTCTCTGTTGTTATTAATTTTTTTAAAAACATATTTTATTAATGCTGAAGGAAAAAGGAAGGGAAGTTTGATAGCAAAGGTCAAAATGTCACACATCTTTCACTGCTAGTTGAGATGCTTAATTAACTGACTGCAGGAGCTATGGTTTGTTTTTGGGTACTTTTATTTGTCACTCTTAACTAATATGGACTGGAGTGGTGCAGTATGTGGAAATATATTCCAGAAGAGCATATTTGAGCACACCAGGTTAGCCTAATGTGGTCTGATTGGGGAATACTTTGAAAATCCTGGGCATTTAATGGAATGTCAGTTAATTGAAGCTTGATGAATTTCAAAGAGTGAGCTGTGGCTGGTAAAGATAAGAGATGACCCTGCTTGATACACATAGAAGCAGAAGATTTCATTTCACTCACTTAGAGCTCACTCAAGTGTGTGAGGGATTTCAGACTTGAAACAGAATTCCCCATCTAAAGTTCAAATGTGATTTCTGACTCTGGCAAAGCATCTCTCACAGGTGTTTCAGGCTTGTTT